GGGGGCCATGGAGGGAGGGGGGCATGGAGGGAGGAGAGGGGGGGCGACGGAGAGTCCAGTTAGATTTGATTAAATGGTTTTAATGTAAAATGTTTTTTTAAAAGTATTTCTCTACATTGACCTGTTCATGTGAGTACTGCAGTACTTTAAGGTCCAACCAACCAAATTGCTCTCACTGGTTGATGATGTCATGCATCAACCAGAACTGACCAACATCCCACCCTCTTATCCATAGTTTGTCTTTTGACTTTAAAACAATAATAACAATAATAATAAACATAAAACTGCCAATAAATCATAAACAATTATCAACAACAAACGATTAATGCGTATGTTAACATATAAATTGACTGCACCGACACCAATACTTTATTCTAATAGGTAATTTTATCGATATATTGGCAAATAGACAAATGAAAATACTGTATATATGTATGTACATATATCAGTGTTGCGTTGTTTTATATTTATTCTGTTGTTATATGTTATATATATATATCTTTTTAAAATGTTGTACTTTTCTCAGTAACTCACTTCTCTTCCTTTTTTTTTAGTAAGGGGGGGCGGGGGGGTTAACGGCGCCAAAAATGTTCGGACCGCCACTGTACATGTAACGTGCGCTCTTCGGCGGGGGGAACAGGTGTTCGGAACGAGCTAAAGCTAACAGACACTCGAAACTTGTACTGTGTGTGTCTGTGTGTGTGTGTGTTTGAGGCCAAACAACGAATAACCGGACCTTCATCATGGCCACCGTGAATTAAACGGGTGATTATGTGATAGCCGCCACCTGTTCTCTGCCATTACTTCTACTGTGACTCCGTCCAATGGGAGTGAACGGAGAGACTGGAGGCGGAGAAAAGAGGGAGAGAAGTTGGAGGAGAGTGAGAGACGCGGAGCTGTGTGGAGTGGAAGTCAGTCAAGACTCACGGTAAATCTCAGTCTCCACGGATCATCTCTGACCGTTACCACACGTTCTCGGTGTCTCTCTCTCTCTCTCTTTTTTTTTCTAGCGCTCTTTTTTTAATTTTATTTTATTTTTTAATATTTTGAATTCCTTCCTGATTTTCGTTCGGATGTCGCCGCTCATTTTTGACGCGCAGCCACAGGTTGACCGATTAAATCCCGTCACCGTGGATTATACCTCATCATCTCGCCTCGACCGTCAGTGACAGCATCGACATGGGCACCGTGCAGAGATTAGTGATGCCACACAGAGGGAAACAAACTGATCAGTGATCCAGATAACCGACACACGGAGGCAACATCCGCCAGGAGCCACGCACTATTTCCCCAGCGCAGAGGAGCGAGTACCTGTGGAGGAGCCGGATGAAGGGAGGAAGGAAGGCAGGCTGGATGATGGGATGGCCGTGACAACATGAAAAAGAAAAAGTGCAGTGCTGTATTTTCATCCAGCCACATTCAACACAACTGACCCGGGGGACTGGGACTGAGAGAGGAGAGGTAGGAGGTAGGTAGAGGTGGTGGTGCTGGTGGTGGTGGTGGTGGTGGTGTATGGAGGGGGGGTGAAGGTGTCTGGTTATATCATCCTGAAAGTAGGTTATTGTTTTGGATCAATCAAATGTAGGCAGCCTATGGTTAACTATAGTCACAGAGCCGGCCACGCTGACAGGAGGCACTGATGATGATGATGACCAGTCTGATCTTCTCCACGTCTGACAGCTTCAGTCCATCTCCATGTTACAAAGGCAGACCATTTGCAGCATTTATTCTCCAGGCCAACAATGTAAGACAGAGGACATTTTATTTCATAGATGGCTGCGAGCTCTGTGTGGCATATAAAAGAAGGACAGAACAGTGGAAAACACACACACACAGGCACAGAGGGGGGGAGAGAGAGAGGGAGAGAGAGAGAGAGAGAGGCTGACTGGGCAGCTGAGTCAAAATGTGACTCCAATCTTCACATCCACTCTCCCCCACTTCACTCTTTCTCCTCCTTGGCTTTGACTCCTCATCCATCACAACACTCCTCCACACCTCCTTCCATCCCAACTCTGAACGTTGTTTCCTGTCAACAGTCAAATTACCGTCGTCGTTGTTGTTGTTGTTGTTGTTTGTCTCTGTTCTTTACCGTTCTTTTTCTGTCTTTGTAGACAGGTGTGTGGCCCCAGCTGTGACCATGGACCCTCCTCCCTCCTTGAGCTTGGCTCTCCTAGGAGGAAGTGAAGAAGAGGAGCAGCGTCTCCTCTTTCCCCTGGGCATTATACCCCACCCTTCCAACGTTGGCAACCAGCCAGGTTCAAACCACTCCAACCACATGGGAGGATCCAGCCTCGATCGCCTCAACGGCAGCACGCCATCCCCCGCCACGCCCAGCTTACCTTCATCCACACTTCCAAAGTTACCCCTGTCCTCTTCGGGAGTTCAGCCGCTGCCGCCGACCATCCCCAATGCCCTCCACCCAACCTGCACCCCCTTGTCCTCTTGCCTGGGCTCTCAGCACAGCCTGAGCGGCGACAACTCCCCGATCTACAACGCCCTCTTCTACTCCTCCCACTCACCCTCCATGGACCGGGAGCGAGACAGAGAGCGTGAACGAGAGAGAGAGAGGGGTTGCAAACACAGACAAGCTAGCCCGCTGGTTCACCGCAGGGACAGCAACCCTTTCACGGAGATCGCCATGAGTTCTTGCAAGTACACGGGCGGAGTCATGAAGCCCCTCAGCCGCCTGAGCGCCTCGCGCCGCAACCTCATAGAATCCGACAGCAGCAGTGAAACCAAAGAGGGCGGTGTTTCAGCTGTTGCTGGGGCGACGGGCAGCGTTGGCCATGACCGACCACGGGATGCCCACCCCACGTCTGTGGTGGCCCAGTCCTCCACCAATCAACCCCCAATCCAGAGCCCTCCAGAGATTGTCATTTCATCCAAAGAAGACTTGCCATACCCCAGAGCGGGATACGACATCGGTGACTCCTCGTCCAACCAGGTGTCCATCTACCACCAGAACCACGCACTGGTGGAGAGCAGGAGGGCACATTCAGGGCGGAACCGACAAGGAGCGGGCGGAGCTGCGGGCACAGGGGCCCGGAGCGGCACGTCAAAGGCCTCGAAACGGAAGAACCAAAACATTGGCTACAAACTGGGCCACAGGAGGGCGTTGTTCGAGAAGCGGAAGCGGCTGAGTGACTATGCCCTCATCTTTGGAATGTTTGGGATCGTTGTCATGGTGATTGAGACGGAGCTGTCATGGGGCGTGTACACAAAGGTAAGGGACGATATCAGCAGTTCAAGGGCGCTAGCGCTCATGTGTCACACAGTTATCCCTGTGGTTGTTGTAGCAGTTGCGAGCACAGTTGTGCAGTTACTCTGTCCTTGGTGGTCGAGAACACAAAGTCTTTATGATGATGTCACTGCAGTCATGTCGGCGTTGGTGTGGAGATCATACGTTTCAAACTAAATGAAAACGGCTCAAGGCTGCAGTCAGCGGGTGGTTCTTCACTTTTTTTTGCGACTTCACTGAAGAAGAATTTCTTCATGTAGTTTGTTCTGCTGGAACAAAGTATTTTTTGCTTTCATTCCTTTACTGAGAAATCACTTAGAGAAGATAAGCATCTGATTGGATACTTCTGTGGTGTCAGTGATTTGTTGTCTGCAATACTCTAGCTTTCCTGGAATTGTCAATAGAACAAGTACTGATGGATTGGAACCTCATGTTCCGCCTTCTTGTTGTTCTATGTCAGATCTGGGGTTTTTTTTCTTCTTGATTTGTTTTGAGCTTGAGAGACCGTAGCATTTTGGTAACGCCTCAGTTTAATTACCGTTTTTCTTCTCACTCTGAGTCACTTATTTGTTATTGTGGTTTATTTTTGTGCATCAAACATTTAGACCTGAATAAAAGAACTTTCCGGGAAACCAGACTTCAGGATAACGTTGAAACGACACACCTGTAATCGCGTTAGGCTGACAGTTCCTTGGCTAGCAATAAACTGCTGATTTGATTGGGTCACCTGTGTGTAGCTTTAGAAATTAGAGAGAGGCGGGGTTTCATACCAAAGGTTGGTGTTCGTCTTTATGAATGTGTCCTCCCTACAGGCTGTACTAGCAACCTGCAGGGGGCAATGAAGAGAAGAAACAACTATGGATGTGACTGGAAAAAAAACCAAACTCATTTGTGAGTCCCTTCGTGAAAGGTTTACAGTTTACTTGTCATAATGCTATTTATTTGGCTGACAATTTCTGTTGTCTCTTGGGAAGATAAACATTTTTTTAACTTCGTCAGAAAATAAATCAGTTCAATAATGTATTTTGGCGACGCGTCACATTTGCATAGCCAAAACGCAGTCCTGTTTAAAAATGAATGAGCAGAATTTTGACTCGACTTTACATCAGCGGTGGGAGCGCCGGTTGTAACACAGTTGGGGATTTAGACAATTACCTGGTCGGAATTCTCTAATAAAAGATTGTGATGGGCTGCATGGGAAGGAAATTCAATATTTAGTGATCCGTACCAGAGGTAGAAGTGAAGACGAGGACTTGAATGTTAGCAGGCGCTAAGTCTTTCCACCTGTTGTGGATGCGTTCGGTAGACAAACGCCAGCAAAACTGATGTCGGATGTTCACTCCGACCTCACTTCCTGCGTATGTGCTGTCGTGGCTGACAGTTGTTGCTCGTGGGCAATGTAAAGCAGCGATGTAAAGGACATAGGAATCAAACTATCAGTAGGAGGCCGCGATCTCATTTGTCCGTGTAATAGGAAGTGTAATAAGCTAAAAAAGCCCCTGGCGGCTATTATTGGTTCACTGTGTGTGTGTGTGTATAAGGGTGTGTGTCACAGGGTTCCAGAGAACACCAGAATCACATTGAATTGATCTTTCTGACTTGTATTTACTATTAATATTATTTTTATTATTATTATTGTTGTTGTTGTTGTTGTTGTATATAATGTTTTGAGCACAGCGTGCTAACGTTAGCCTATCATGTAGTGTTTTTTGCAGTTTTTAGCATCATGCTAGCATGTGATGAATTGAACTCTGCTAATACCTAGCCGTGTGCTAATATGTAGTACATTAAACTACGCTAAGAGACTCACTTAACCCGCTATCACCCTCAACCTCAGCTCTTCCTTTTGTAAACACACTCAAAATGATTACCATAAGACATTAGAGAAAACATTTAGCTTTTTATCTTCAAGCTAGTATGTAGCTAATTGTCCCCCAGGTTAGCTGGTCCATTAACGCCTAGCTTGCTCATAACATTTTACTTTGAAAGGTCGTCTTTACTAACTGGACCTGCTGACGCTCCTTTACAAGCACAACCAAATCTTTGGAGTGGCATTACTGCCACCTACTGGATCTATTTCATGCTTATCATGCATATTTCATCATTTAATCAAGAGCCCCGCTGATGTTGACAGGACCGAGTACTTCCTGTGACCCTGGTGGGATTAATGAGAAATGTTTCTCTGGGTGATTTTGTAATGAAATGCTGCCTATTACGGCTTTAATCCACTCTTTACTTTTGCCGTCACTAATCGCAAATGTTTTAATGTAATCAGACGGCGTTTGGGCATGAATGGACATGCAGCTCGCCCTCTACTGATCATGAGGGAGATGAGGGTTTGCACTAAAGCCGTGAAGGTGCACGTTGTCTGTTAGAGTTGGCCAGTTGGGTGTGTCTCCCATCATGTGCTGCCTCGCTTTAGAGTCTGTTTGCAGACCGAGGTCTCCAGTTAATTCTAACTCTCTCTCTCTCTCTCTCTCTCTCTCTCTCTGTTATTATCAAGCCGAGAAAAATCTGCCAGCTCTGTTTTGCTGACTGTGTACTGGCTGATTTTCTTCTAAACTTTCTTTCCCCAAACATTATTTAATGAAAATTACCCTCTTTTTTTTTATTAATGCCAACTCAGGATTTCATTTGTATTTTTTTTTTTAACTCATCTAGAATTGTGTATCTCCCTCATTTCTTATTATCTTTATATCCTCTATTTTGTTGACTGAGCCTGTATTTTTCAATCTTGCCCCGCACTCTCTCTCTCTCACTCCCTCTCTCTCTCTCTCCCTCTGCTCCTCCACTCTTTCAGTGGGCGTCAAACAGAGGGAGTGTTTGGTGGAGCAAAGTGGCCGGTTGAGAAATTGAATGCTGTAGAAAGGGCAGTTAAAAAAAGGACAAAAAAGAAAAAAAAAGAAAAGAAATGCAATCATGGAAAAGCTGGATTCAGGGTATTTACCCTGGACTGGGGCAACAATGCTCTTCAGTAATAATACAATGACATCGTAGCCCCGCAGCCGGTGTGTTTGCTGTTTCATTATGCTGATGACTGCACGTATTTAATGCATAGTTAACCAGGAAGTCAAAGGTCAGTGCGACTTCTGTCATCCTGGGTACAGACATTGAATGCAGATTTTTTTTTTTTGTTAAATCTAAATTCCAAAATCCTTGGTGCCAGAGTGAGTCGTCTTCCCTCCTCCCGTCATAGATGGGGGTTTGGTTTCAGTCCAGCAAACACTGGAGGTCACTTTTGTCAAACGCCCCACACCTGTACTCTGATAATTGAGGGGGAAAGAATCCTGCTGGTTGTCATGAGGAAGGGTCCGAGGTGAGGATGAATGAGAGGGAGACGACGACGAGGACGACGGGAGGAAGGCGTTTTCACACAGTGCTTCAAAGCAGTCCAAGCATGGGAGTCTTTAATGATTTCCTTCCATTGATTATTGATAATCACTCGCCCACATGTGCAGTGCTCAACCACCCCCCCCCCCCCCACCCCCCCGTGTACAAACACACACATTGAAACTGGATGCTGATGATGGGAGGTGACGTATTGGCCGGTGTGTATCGACAGCCATCCTTGAGAGAGGGTAATGAGAGCCGGGGAGGAGTGGTCAGAGACACATCACATTATCGGACATGTTGTGTACACATGAAGTATTATTTTACCACTCCATGTGACATTGTGACAAAGTCAGGGGGCGTCGGGGGGGTGGTGGGGGGGTTTCCCCCGGGTGAGGTTGCATGTCCAACATAGATGTCTGTGATTTTTTTTTTTTTTTTTTCGGAAAGTCCAGCTGCTCCGTGTTGCGTCCAAAAATAGAGCTGAGGCCTAAGAATGGAACGAAGCAGGAGCGGTTGAAGGGTTGGTTGTGTGTGAGTTAATGACTGTGTGTTAGCGGCGATAAAGACCCGGGGGTCAGCAGTGGAATTGACTGGAGTAAGCACATGTGCTGAAAGTCTAGCTGATGCATACATATATAAATATAAACGATTGTATATATTTATATATGTACTCTATGTGTGTGTATATATATTAGCTAGACCGTCAACTTATGCTGACTCAATAAATACTAATTTTTCTCTATATATATATATATATTTTCACATATATAAATATATGTCTATATAAATATATACACACATAAAGAAAGTAACTGAGTAATCATATGTGCTAAAGATCTAGTTGATACATATATACAGTTGTATATATTTATATATGTAAATATTAGCTAGATTGTCAACTCATTACTTAATAAATACTTCTTTCACTTTATATATACTGTATGTATACACTTACATATACATTGTGTATATATAAATATACACAAATAAGGAGAGTAATTATTGAGTAAGCATATATGCGGGAGATCCAGCTGATACATATATACACATTTGTATATATTTATATATGTATGTGTATATATATTAGCCAACTCATTACTTACTCAATAAATACCTCTTTCACTTACGTATATATATATATACACACACACACAGAGAGATAAAGAGAGTAATTATTGAGTAAGCATATATGCGGGAGATCCAGCTGATACATATATACACATACAAACATATATATAGATATATATATATATATCCATATATGTATGTCCTAACTAATTATGTAATAATTAACTGTGTTGTACAGTACACTATATGTGCAGACTCAGCAGTTTTTAGGCTGTTATGATACGGTTTTTGTGCTGCTGAGCCAAAAGAGAGTGCAGTGAGAAGGTACCAGATTGTGAAATAGTTCTGTCTGCCAAAAACCAAAATTTAGTTTTGTCTAAAAAAAATAAATAAATAAATGTAATCCACACAAACTAAAACAGTGACAACCAGTGTGCAATTAAAAAAAAAAAAAAAAAAAATCCTTCTGATGATGGTCGTGGTTGTTCCCCACCATGTGACGATCATGACGTGACCCCCGACCCCCGACCCCGTCACTGGGACTGACCCAGGAGCTTGACACCTCCAGGTGTTAGTGGGCCGGT